GCGGTTCATTGCTGGCATAGCTGAGCTGCGCTGGTGGAGATGCCGAGGGGTAGGGTAGCGCCTGGGATGCAGCATCAGAGCAGCCATAACTGTACCAGGTTCCTCTTTATTCATATTTACCAGCTATAAACGGATGGAACATCTTACCATGCCGAGGACTTTTTTCCCTTTACCTCTTAAAATACAGCTGTGGCGCTGAGCAAACCTGCCCGGTCCCTCGGCGTGGCGCGCGGGGACACAGCGTGTCCTTCTCCGGTGATCTGCACGGCTCAGCTGAGCAGCAGTGGTGACAGACCCGGGTGTTGTGCAGTGGCCTCGCACGTGGCTTTGGGGTTCGCTCTGCTGTTTCTGGATTCCCCCCTGCCCTGCTCAGGTTTGGAGCTCGCTGTTTGGGTGGTGGCTGCGGCTCGTGGGCACGAGGGCTTCGTCACCCACCTGGTGCCCATGTCCGGGGCCGGAGCTGCGGTGGGAGGGACAGTGCCGGGCCGGCGCGGTGGCCCGGGGAGCGAAGCAGGGATGAGCTCCAGCGTGGGCCCCCTCGAGCCGCGGTGCTGTGCAGCCGCCAGAGAATGCTGCGGTGCTGTGGGCTGCAGCTCTGCAGAGGCACTGCGAAGCTGCCGCAGGACGTGCCTTCCCAGGATGTACTGTCAAGGAAACCCCAAACCTTCCCCCGTCCCACTTGCTGCAGAAGCTGCCGTGTGGGCTGTGCCTGGAAAGCGCCGGCGCAAGTGTGGCATCCGCCAGCGCGAGGGCTCTTCCCCGGCCGGGCTGGGAGGCAGCAGTTTGTTGTGGCTGCGTCCTCGCGCGCTGGTCAGGGTTGCTTTTGGGGACCAGGGACAGGAGTAGATGGTGGGCGACAGCCCTGCGCGGGCAGGAGTGGGCACGGGCTGCGGCGCTGCAGTGGGTTGTTTTTTCCTGGGGAGACCTTGACAAGAGCGGGAGATGGTGTTGTGCGACGGGTGGCGCGGGGGCTCCGTGACCTTGTCCTCCCCGGAGCTGGGAGATGCTCCCCACAGCATATGGGTCCCCCGAGGACCTCAGGAGGGGACCCGGTAGCTGGAGATGGAGCTGGGTCTCCAGGTCCTCCTCCCCCTCCCGCTGATCTCCAGCCTCCTGGAGCCCCCGCGTCGCCGGGGGGCAGGACGGGCGAGCGAGGGGGGCGACTTCTCTGCCCCGCTGGGGTGGGACCCCCCGTGTGCTCCCTGGCGGGACCTGCAGGGGTGACCGCCCCGAGGTGGGTCCGCGCATCCCCGGTCCCCGTGAGCCGGGGCTGTCCGGGTCGTGGCTGGCGCCGGGGGCTGCGTTCGCACGGGCAGGTGGAGCAGAATCCAGAGCAGCTCCCCACGCGGATGCGCTGCTCGGGAATAAAAGTCCCTTTATGCCGGAATAATTAGTGTACTCAGAGCACGCTAATTATTCTGGGATAAAAGTGACTTTTATTCCGGCAGAGTGTCCTCTCAAAGGGCCCTTTCTGCCCGCTCCCGGGGCACAATAGCTGCTCTGCTCCGTTTCCCCATCTCAGACAAAGTCCTTATTTGCGAAGCCAGCGAAATTGAGTTGACTAATGAATTAAGGCCAATGGTTTTGGCCTGGCTCCAGCACTTTGAAAGCCTTGGCGAGCTGATGCCCGTCCCGGGCAGGAGGGAAGCGCGGCACCCTCCTGCCCCGGCAAAGCCCCCGCCGCCGGCTGCCTGCGGCCCCGGGCTGCACCGCGGCGCTCCGGCAGCATCCTGCCCCCTGATTCCGCTGTCCAGATGAAATGCCCATTAATCTATAATGTGCAATTGCTTTATTGCACAACGCAGGCAGGTCTCTGGAGGAAGCGTTATCAGCTTTAGCCACGAGCCATAAATAACTGCCTCCAGTGCAGAACACTATATTCTGTTTGGGTTCCCAACTGCCCAGGGTGTAAACATCCCACTTCTCATTGCTAGAATAAATAAAGGGAATAAGACCTTCCCAGGTAGAGGGGGCGGGGGGGCCTCCGCACCAGCCCTCCCCCCCATGTCCAGTAGGCTTAATTTCTGATCTATGCAGGAAGAAGTATCAGGAGGATAATGTCGTCTCGGTTTATTTGTGGCAGATCTGTGCAAATCTCTCAGTACAAAATACAAGAGCCTGTCTGCTGGTACAGATTTGCTTAACTTGAATTTATGCCTTAGCTGTCAAAATAATTGAAGCACACCTGTGAAAGCTGGAAATACTTTCACTTCTTTTGTAATAACCAGTCAGGAAATGAGAATGGCATCATTGACCTAACACAGTTAAAAGAAAGAAGAAAGCAAACTGAGCTAGCCTCATGATTTTCATCTTCAAAGTGACTGAAAATTTACATTATACTTAGACACCAAAACCTCTCTTTTTTTTTCTTTTTTTTTTTTCTCCCAGTTCTGAAAATGCCATGGATTCGTTTCATCTGGTTCCATCTCCTGCCATTTTTCAGCTCATTCTTCTGTGGACCTCTCCGTGGGGCCGGAGGCAGGAGGGGGACGGGGGGGATCGCACTCCGGTGCAGATCTCCCAGCTGCTGAATTTGGTTTAAAATGCAAATCTTTTTTTTTTTTTTTTTTTTTCCCCATCATTTTTTTTTTTTTTTCTTTTTAATGCATTTCATCTGAAGGCAGCAGAGCTGCCGGGGAGCGGGAGGGGAAGGGGCTGGGCGGAGGGGGAGCGCATTCCTCCCAGCGCGTCCAGATTTCCTGATGCGTGTTCGCATTTAAATCGTCTCCCCCTGGATCCGTTTGAAGTCAGGTGGCCGCGGCGCTGTCGGCAATGAAAGCCGCCCTTGGGAGCCACAATATGATTTTATTCCCCTTCCCTCTCCCCGCCGGGGAGGACGGATGCTCTCGGGCAGCCTCCATCTTCCCACCTTCTCGCCCTGCTTCCCATCCATCGTCCTTCTCCCCCCTTCTCCTTTGTCTGAGCTGGGATGCGGTGATGGCAGCTCCTGGAAACCCCGTCCTGGGGTGGAGGCGGGGGGGGGCTGCGCTGGGTGGGGGCCGGGGACGGACCCTGAGGCGCTTTGGTGCGGTGTGTGCCGTGGGCACTGCCGGGGCTTCTCCCCTGTGCCCCGCACTGTGTCACCTCCTGCTGCCCCGGACATGGGGCTCTGCCACCTGAGGGCCACTGGAGCTGGGGATGGCGCCGGAGGGGGACGTCGGGGTCCCGGGCGCACCCTGAGGGACCCGGTGCAGGAACACAGTTGCTCCCAGTCTTTGCCCTGGTGTCCCTGGGGAGGGACGGGTGTCGCTCGCCCCGGGGAGCGCCCACACGGGCGATGGAGGGTGCGGAGGGCGATGGAGGGTGCGCAGAGCGCGGCCCCGTGGATGACTGTGCCGAGGGCCGTGCTGTCCCCGGTGGGGTGGTGGGTTCCTCTGGGGGGGCCGCCAGGCAGCACTGGGGCAGCTGATGGGATCCATCACACGTGTCCCGCTGGGCAGTGGGGGCAAACGCGTGGGGTGACGGTCCCGACCGTACCCTGGGATGGGGCTGGGGGCCGACGGGACGGGACCTTCCAGTTGGTTCCGGAGAGCATCCCCCGTGCGGTGGGGGCAGATGAGCTGGGGCCGGAGAGGGAAACCAGGGAAGGCCGCGGCACGACACCCAGAGCGGCGGCCGGGGGCTCTGCCAGCACTTCGCTTTGGTGGGACATTTGTTGTTGGTTCCAGTTCGCCTCCTCAGCATCTCTGAAAACCCCCTCAGGAGCCCATCGACCGCCCTCCTCCTCGGCCGGGGTGCGCTTTTCCAGCCACAGCCTTTCCTATGAATGGCGTTTTGCCGCTGTTCCAACATCTTGGGCAAAGCGGAGGCGCTTTTCTGCGGGCCGGGGGCTTTTTCTTTTTTTGTTTTTTTTTTTTTTTTAAACAAGGTTAATGCCTAGTGATTTAAATGCAATAGGAAGACTTAAAAGGAAAAGGGGGGGGAAATAAATGTATTTTAAAGTCAATATTTACTTAGCGATTGGAGGGTCCCCTCCCCCCGGCCCGGGCGTGCATACCTGCGGCTTCGCCGGCGGGAACAGCCAGGAGCGCACAGCAACGTCATTCATGGACGCGGCGGCGGCTGGGACGGAGCAGTGGATCTGGTTTGAATCTTCCTGTTGGAGGGGGCTGGATGGAGGAATTGCAAAAATGCATTTGAACTGTTTAGAGATCTTGTATTTAAACGCAAAACAAACAAATAAGCCTTCCTTTCCCCTTCCCTTTGGAAAAAAAAAAAAAAGTGCCTACAAACTTTGGGTTTTGTTATTTTAAATGTCTCTATTACCCCGTCTAGCTTTTTGGAGCCAAAGGACCCGGCAAATTAACATTAGTCGCCAGCTTGCGAATTCTGCACAAACTTCTGCGCAGCGCTGTGCCCCTGCGGGGATTTGGGTTTCAGCATCAGCCTCGTGGCGTCGGTCCCAGACCCCGGACAGAGGCAGCACGGAAGAGCTGAGGGGTGCGTGCACGTCCCGGCGTTATCCGTCCCAGTGTCTGTCCTGCGGCTGCAGAGAAACTCCGCGAAATCAGCAGAATCCTGAAAGCACCAAAAAGGAACAAATCACCTTTTTTTTTTTTTCTTTTTCCCCCTGAAATTCAAGGACAAAGGATGGGCGATGTCGGGGAGAAAGATGAAAGTATAAGGCGACTCTGATTTTTGTGTTTGGTTGATTGGGCAACTTGGCCGATCTGCCGGCTCAGCGCCGTGGGACCACGTGGCAGCACTTCGGGGGGGTCCCGTGGGGGACACGGCTCGGCCGTTACTGGGGAGAGTGGCCTTGGAGTTGTGGTGTGCTGCGGCTGAGTGATGTCCCGAGGGCTGAGTGGACCGGGAGGGACGATGGGACGTGGTGTTCAGCTGCCTGACGGGATGGGGTCTCCCCTGGGGAAGGCAGTCAGCCAAAAGTGGCCAAAATCGGCCGAAACGGTAACTGGGAGCAGAGCAGATCATGGCACCTTGGCCTGCGTTAAGTCTTCATGGCGTGTGCTGGCACACGCGTGGTGCCGATGCGCTCGGGATGGTGATGAGCTTGCCGTGGCTCGCGGGGCCAGAGCTCGGCAGATGCCACCATTGCTCGCCGTGGCTTCTCCATCCCCACGATGGTTTCCTGCCCAGTTTTTGCCCTCCAGAACAGCCTGGCAGATTTTTGTCTCGCCGAGAAGCGCTGAGGGTGTCCGGCCGGGTGTGCTGCGCGCGTCGCTGCAGCCCCTCGCACCCATCCTGGCGCGGTGCAGGGCGAAGCGCGGCTGTGTTTGTGCAGTGCCCGCACTGCGCGTGTGCTTTGGCAGCGCGCGGAGGGGAGCGGGTGGATGGGGACAGAGACCTGGGAGGAATGTGGAGTGGATTTGTTTTTCTCCCTCTCGAGCGTTCTTCCCCCCCCAACCAGAACATCTGTTTTGCAAATCACGCTCATTCCAGTCCGTATTTATGGCCAGCGCTGTTTCCTTTGCGGAGCGGCCCACCGCCTCCCGAGGAGGGGAGGAGGAGTTGGGCTGAAGAGGAAAGTATGTCTCGCGCCGGCACGGAGTTCTGGAGTGTTTTTGTGGTTTGCGCCCGGTCTGTATGGGTTCTCATGCCGTACTCATCTGCACGCTGAAGGTAACTTGGCTTCTGCTCAAGGTGGAGACCTCCCGCTCTCTCCAGCCTCCCAAAAGAGTCCATTTAAATGGAAGTGTCGATTTCTTGCTTCAGGCAACAATGAAATGTGTTTTGTTGTGTTTCTGTAACAGCCCTTTTCACCACTCGTGTCCGTGGGGCGGTGGGCGCTCAGTCCGGTCCCACCTGGGAAGATGCCGCTGCTGCTCCGCACCCCCGGGGGGGGGTGTCTGCTCCCACCCCCTACGGCAGAAGAAAGATCCCCTTTCTTGCACCCAAATAGCCATTTATTTATTATTTTTTTAAGTACAATTTTTTTCCTCTCTGTCCCCGTTGAATTACTTTTAAGCAGGGATCTCTCCTCCGGCTGCCAAAGAGGGATGTGTTTTCGGCGGGCGGCTCTCGCAGCTGCCCCGGCCCCGCTCTGAGCCGGCCATTGTGCGCTGCATGAAGGCGCCTTTATTCTCCGAGCCGGAGCCGGAGCTCCGCTCTGCGCTGCCATTGCCGCTTCTGCTGGTGCGGCCGCCTGGCTCGCAGCACGGCGTTTGGCTCCTTCTGAAGGATGCATTAACGGACACCTTCTCTAATTGTCCACCTGGCACTGAGGCATCTCCACACTTACTCCGGGGCCATTTAACTTGCTGGGAACACGCTGTGCAAAAACAGAAAGTGCGTGGCGTTGCCGCGGAGCCCGGAGAGCCGTCTGCCGAGAAGGGCAGCGATCTCCTTCCCTCCCGCAGGGATCGGTGTGCGAAAGCGGCGCTGGAAACCGCGCGGCCTTGCGCTGCCAGAACTCTCCTCGTGCTTAGGCATGGCGGAGGGGGGACGGCGGGTGGTTTGAGCCG